CTCTTCGATGGAGTTTTATACTGATGTTCATTTATATTGGAAGATATCTTAAGATGTCTCTTCCCTTTTCAAAAGTCTCTGGCTTTAGGCCCAATTAAAATATTTCAAAGTGGGAGAGAGAGGGCATTTGTGAATGCTGCTTCATATAAATACTGGACACATCAGAAAAATAAGCATGTGCTAATGCCATCCAGCCTCATGCACGGTTACTTCACGGAGCAGATGGGATCCTTGTCTCAATCCAACACTGACATCTAGCGTACATGGAGGGGAGATTTTCCAAAACCAAAATCTGTATTATTTGAGACAGATCTGTCTTTGCAAGGCATTTAGTGTTTTTTACGTTAATGATTTCAGAGTTAACCACTTGCTTCCAGCATAGAAAAGTCTGAGTAATCTATCCCTCTTGAAAAGTCTAAAAATCTAACACTTGTGATGCAGTTGAGATTTTTCATGAATTATGTGTTGCAACTGTCAACACTTGCAAATTCAGCCTTTTTTATTTTCTATGTAGTCCAATTTTGACTTGAGTTGTTGCTCTAGTCATGGATGTTTTTTCTGTGGTAAGAAAGTTTTCAGCTCTGTTTTCCTCGAGAAGGTTGTTACTTTAATTTTTAAGTAAAGGACTAAAGTATGAATCAGAATGAAGGATGAAACAGAATGTTAAAATTGACATTGAGTGAAATATAAAGAGGCACTTTATTATTTGTTCCCTATATTATATGTATTATGTGTGTCTGTGATTCCACAAATATGGATTGGAAGGGCAGATTGTCTCCAAAATCCTCATGGACAATTGCAGCAGTGAGGAAGAGGGGAAGGGAGGAAGGATGAGCTGTGGCTAGCAGGGTATAAATGAGTCTTTCATAATGCATTTCCTAAGACCACCTGCAGGCCCTAAAAACTAATCTGAAGCCTGGGACTTCCCAAGCTTGAAGTAGTGTGTCTCATGGTCATACATTCAGCTTGTATTTTACAGGATCTTCTCATGTAGATGAACACAACTAATCCATTACAAGAGATTCTTTCACTTCTGGGATGTATTCTCTAGTTTTTTTCTTTTCCTGTCTGCTTGATTCTTATCCTTTTAAGGCTCTTCATCACGTCAGGTATAAGGATTTAAGCTCCTTCACGACAGCTGAGCCAGACAGACTGATATGGACTCTCCTGCAGGATTAGGAGCCAGTATTATGAAGTGGAAAACAGTTTTTAAAGCTCACTTCTTGTATTGATAGCTACGCATGCTACATTACCAGAATAGTGACATTTTGGTTTGCATGGCCTCACTGTAAAAGGCCCATGGCTTTTATTAGGGGATGTAAGTAACAGAATAAAATGGGTTTATGAGCTTATTTAACTACAGATGAGAAGCCAAAACTTCTAATGTGTTTCACTGGTTTGCACTTTTTATTTTTTATTTGAAGATGCAGCTGTTTGACATATCTCTTTACATAGGAATACTGTGAAATCACATTGATATAAAGCAATCTTTAACGTTTGTTTGCTCTTGAATTTTTTTAACAAGCATAACCAAAGATGGCAATGGCATAGTACATGGAAGAAGATAACTAATTATGATAACTAAACCAATCTATGACTTTAAGTGATCAAAGCATTATATGATTGTCTATTTAGTAACCAGTAAGACATAAAAAAAAGCAAACCAGAAAAAAAATCAACCAGACAAAATTTCTGCCTAAATATTCCTAAACACAATGCATGCTTTATTTGTAGAGATAGCAGGTGTTAGCAGGTTAGTGGTAGTGCCGTTTATGTTGGTTATATTTATTTCTGTTGTTGCTTAGCTTGGTGAAACACTTACTCTGTGAACCTCATGGTTAGCACTACAGCAGTGCTAATAATATCTCCTTCAGACACATGATGGGCTTCCTGCGATCCCTAGTTGGATATCACTCAATCACAAGGTCCCACTGTTGCAACTCAATCATAAGTGGAGAATTCTCCCTTAGTTTCTAGGTACAAGCTAACCCAGAACTCACTCTAAAAATATTAGCCATTAACAACCTCCCAGTTTTTTATTCAATGACTGGAGCTCTGAATTCCCTTAAGCATAGAGCTGGTACCCTCTGTGCAGCTGGTACCCTCAATTCCAGCTAAGTGCAGATGTCTGAATATAATCCAAGACTCCAGGATAGTCAATGTCTGTGTGTAGATACCTCATTCTAAGTGTGCAGTACCCTAATTTCTAACTGTGCTATGGAAATGTTTCTGAGCTTTGTGTTTCCATCCGCAGTGTGTCTTCTATTGGTGGAGATAGCTGGCAGTGGGAAACAAGAACTGAATTTGCTACCAGCACCTCAGAAAAATGGTGCTCGAGGATATTTTCCTCTTACATTGCTAATACTTGGAGTTTGCCTGATGAAACCCATAGTGTGGTTTTCTACAACCTCGTGTTTTCATTGTGATGGCCAGAGGGAAGCTCTAAGTAGCATTTGAAAGAAAAATATATCACCCAAGAATACACAGACACCTGATGCTTATCTATAAAAAGCAATTTCTACAATTTTAGCAAAATATGATCTTACAGAGTTCAGAGCTTGAAGGACAATATAAACCTGCATTCATACCAGTGTACAGCTCATACAGAATTTTGCACCACCTAAAATCTTCGTTTTGGGGTAAGGAATGGTAGGTGTTTATATTTTCAAATCAGACCTTATTCCTAAATAAAGTAACATTTGGACACTTTTGCTTAATGCAATGATGCAGATGAAAGCTTTGAAAAGCAATATAACGCATTGCTTCCTAGAAACACTGCAATGCCTCCCCCCTTTACTAAGCAGACCAACTGAAAGATGATTTTCTAGTCGCTCAAGTTGCTCCTGGGTGTAAAAATGGCAAATGACCAATTGCTGAGATATGAATATGCATTTTTAAATGAACTGCAACAAATAATATATATTGTGACGTTTTTATCTTTGGACTTCAAGTTGATCTATAAGGGGATAGTAAATTAGGCCACTGTGCCATAAGAGGTGTCAGTGGGACTGTAACTCCTCTTCAGAGAGGACCATACAGTGCTGTTGGTAGGCTTAAAGTGTGATATATATTTTCATATTAACCTGTGTCAGCATTCCCCATTGTTTGAACAAAATATGATCTTCAGAGTGATGAAGTCAGCCATGTCCTGTTTTTCCTCCTGCCATTGGTTTTTAACGGCCTTCAAGTTTAAACATGTACATTTTCATGGCTAATTCATTGCTGATGTTCACCTCAGTCTTTCAATCTTTTCAGGACTCCAGACTTTCACTCTCGCTGTATTTTGTGCTGAAAGTATTCACCCAACCTCACAAGGAGACGTAGATTCAGATTGCACAGAGATGTGCTTTGAAATGAAGCTGAGCCACGATGCTCAGGCAATAAGGTGATAAGATGCTTTTTGACTTGAGGCTTTCTGCTCCTTGAGGCATCTCCAGAGACTCTCCTGGGGCAACTCGACTGGAGTGCTGCCAGGAGAGAGTACGAAGCACTGTAATCTGAAGGGTGAAGCACTCAGCAAGGCTATGGAGAGGTGCTGGGTGGGAGCAATGGTGTGGGCATTTTCTGAGATTTGTCAGAGTGCCCGGGCTGCATAACTTCTCTGAAGCACCTTCATATCAGAGGAAAGTTCTGCTCTTCAAAAGAATCAGCTAAAATCTTGAAAAGGTCTACCACGAATACTGATATAAATTTATTGATGCTGTTTGTGCTAGTTCCAACAGGATGGCTCCTCAGACTTTGCACATTATGTAGATATTTCTTTCTATTCTCATGCTCATATCACCACAGAAGCAGAGGCTAACTGCCTTAGGTAAGTACGATATATATTTCTTTCATGCTATGCAGCAATTTCTCTATGGGACTAAAGCTCTTTTAGCAACACAGAGGCTTAGGTGAGAATCACCTGCCCAACTATAGCTCAGCTGACATCAATATAATCCAAACAGGAATGAGCTTGATAATAGGAAATAATAACTGGGAGATAATAAACTCTGCGAAGCCCTATCTTTTTGCAGTGAGATAAATTCAGAGCGGTGACTCTAAGGAAGATGATAATAGAGGTTGGTATTTTTCTTGTATTTGAAGTTGTATTAAGCCTTTCTTACAGAAAAGGAGAACTTAAGGTCAGAAGAGACTAATCTTTCAGCTTGCTCAGGTTCTTAACTGGTATGAACTATCATGTGTAAATACACTTTGACCAACTCAAGACTGACATTTATTTTCTTTCAGCACCAATATAATTCTTCGTTCCACCTTAAAAATTGTGTCTCTTACATAAAAGCAAGTTGCTATCAGGGTCCCTTGGCCCTCAGTAGAAGAACAGGACTCTCCTCTACTGCAGGCCTTCTTTCACAATGGCAAAAGAGTGTATGTCTTTATTCTTATTCTATTCATCTTCTGAATCTCTGAATACATGCTGAGTTGGCCTCTTAGCAACTTTTACCCCCGCTCCATGTCTTGTAAATATTTCTGTATTTAATCATTGGACTTTGTTTGGGGTATTTGGGTGAGATCCAAAAGAAACATGGTTGACAGGGAGAAGGGCTTTCAAGGTCTGTCAAAAAAAAATATCTGATTTGTAAAGGCATGAAATATAACTTCTAATATCTCAGTGCCTTCCTGAAAGGAAATTATACAAATATGGAATTGTAACTTCCAGTTGCAAAAATTAAAAATTATGCAGTTAACTGGCTCATAAGTATAGATTATGTCTATATTTCTATACTTGCTTTGATGAACTTTACTATGTTGTTTACATGAATATTATTATTTCAAGTATTTATTGGTCTTATTTTAAATACTATCTGTCTCACCAATAAACTAACAAAATAAAAAGTGCATTTTCTCGCTATCAGATGTCCCATAATAAAAATAATAAATCTAGTCTGTTGTAAGCTTCAGTATATCATCATTTATTGTAAGCTTGTTGGTTACAACTCGAAGCTGAACATTTGCGAATGGACTGTGTTCTTATGAAAGATGCTGGGTCAGTCACTGTGGCAAATGAAGTCCTAGCTAGTATGTTCCTCAGCTGTTTGCCTAAGGGTGTTAAAACAATAACTGAGTTCAGACTGCCAGGTTGGATAGTCTTTAACCTCTGTGCTAAGGTCCTGAAGGATCCATGTAGCAGTGCGGCTCCATCTAGCATACAGAGCTATTAAGGTAAGCAGAGAACTATTCAGTCCTACCTATTTTGTATAATATTCTACAGGTACCCCCCTCTGTTTGCACAAATGCTGAAGCCTGTTACTAGCTGTAAGAGCAATTCTTGGCTGAGTCAGTGAATTATCTTATAAGGTAAGAAGCCTGATGCTATTTTACCTTTCAGTATGCATGGGATTGAGTAATGCTGTTCTTTTTACTCAATTCTGAATCCTTCACTTAGATTTCCAATCTTCCCAGCTTCTCCTAACTGACAAGCTTGAACTGTTTTAAAAGCACATATCAAGAGAAAAAAAATGTAGAGTAAAAGGATTAGGTATCCAATTCATTCATCTTTCACCTGCATAGGAATAAAACCTTTGAAAGGAAAAAAAAAACCAAAACCAAAAACCAACAGACTATACTGGTACCACAGGCAAATGTTGCACTTCCAGTATGATCCCTTTCTGAGCACTTTGCCCTGTTCTTTGCTTGGTGTGTCACTGTTTTCCTACTAAAATAAACCTACTTTTTTTCTCTTTACAAACAAAGCTATGAGCAGATACAGGTACAGGAAGTGTTTGCTTTGCTTCTCAGGAACGCTAATCTTGATTCCTTCTCTCCCACACTGTCTATCACTTCAGTTTTGCATGTGGAATTTTCACTGCAGTCAACATTATTCCAGCAAATAAAAGCTGGACTAATGAGGCAAAAAGTCACGAGAAAAATACAGTTTTGAGCCTCTAGTTGATGTTCTACATCCTAGGGAAACAAGAAGGAGGAAAAGGAAAAGGAAAAGGCAGGCTTTTACCTCAATACAGTACAAGCACAGTGTGTGTAACCAAGAAAGAATGGCCAGAAAAAGCTCTGCCTTATGCTAGAGTCCACTCTGGTAACTAGTGCCAGCTACGCTGGGTCAGCAGTGCCATTTGTGTTGGCCCTTATCACTACGCTATGGAAAACCTGATTTGATCTGAGATCCCTGCAGACAGAAGTACTGGAAAATGGCTCTTCATCTACCAAGGGAATTCTTCCAGCCCCACGTGTAAATGAATTTTCTGTTGTCTCCTGTGTTGCTTCCTGGGATTTCGTGAGATGAAGATAAGCACTTGAAGATAATTTAAATTCAAGTGCATACTTAAGAAAATTATTATTTATAAAAATGAATGGTTTTTTTTTTCTCTATGCGCTGCCACTTCGAATGACCCAGAATTATTATTTACATTACATTATTGGAGATATCACTATAATCTTAACTGGGTGTTGTGTCTCCATCCTTTTCTTCATCTTCCAGAATCACTGTTCGCTTTTCTTCTGTAAGCAGCCTAGTGCCTTGAAAACAGAAGGCAAAAGAATATAAAAAAGAGGGAAGAGAGAGAGAGAGAGAGAAAGAAAGAAAAAAAGGAGCTAGTTAAAACATGATCTCTTTAGAAATAAAGATAAAGTTAAGGAAAACTTTTCTGCTCTAATAATTCAACTCTAATATAGCTTTTCAGATATCATGGGAGTTAGTTACTCTTCATTTATTTTGGCAAATCATTCCCTTGATGTTTAGTGAACTAGATTTGGACATATATTGTTAGCTAAAATTATCAGTCAGTCTTAAATCCAGCATAGTTCATCTACCTGTGAAAGCAGATACACTGAAGTTTCTTTTAAGAACCTGTTTGTTAAAAAGCTTTAAGAAATTGTAAAAAGGAAAGTGTTTGCATGATGAAATAAACATTGTAATTAACCTAGGGAACTGAGTCAGTCTATGGGATCAAGGTTATTCATGATTCTTTTCAGTAACATAGATTCTAAAGAGAACAAATATTAAAATGGTACACGCCAAGTATGATTCTCTATTCAATATCAATATGTTCAGTATCATTAAATTGCAAAAGGAATAGAATCGAGCTCAGTGTTATAACAGATCCACACACTAAAGGCTCTGAGCCACTATGTGAATAGGTTTGGGATCCAAATAAGCTTTGAAGTGTATCTATCCTGTGAAGTGAGAAGAAAAACCATTCATAAGGCTTCATCTCCATCATGAAAGCGCTGAAGAATTGTACGACATAATATTGATAGGAAATTTGATTTCACAGTTAAAGCATGGGAAGGTGATTCAAGAAAACTGGCTCATCTGACGTGCTATGGGGCATACCTTCCCATGTGTAAATATTTTCTTCTTCCAAAGTCTTTCCCTATTATCTGTTTAGGTTATAGACCATATTGTCCGCAAGTATATCTGTATCTATATCATACTTAAAAGAGTAAGTCTTCCTTTTATGGCAGACCTTGGGAATTTTATGTAGTATAATTTTATATGAATTATTTTAACTAATCACTTATTGATCAAATAAATAATAAAGCTGAGGCCAATATTTTAGATAGAAAATTGTTGTTGATCCCCATTTTAACTGATTGTGTTGGTTTTGCCTGTTCATAATATAAAGCAGCAGACCACTGAGGTATATTTTCTGTCTGCTTTTCTTGGGGTGGAGATTAATATAGTCTAAAAACAGGATGAGGGTAACCATTCAGTCGAGACCAATGAAATCCATCTCTAATTCCGTCTCCTACTGTTTGCTCTTAGTCTGTGCTAACCAGCTGAGTTGTTCTGTCAAACCAACCTGTTTTGCTTTTTTTTTTTTTTTTTTTTTTTTGCATTGAAAACCCCTGCACAGTGAAAGCTTTCAGCCTTCATGAAGTCTGAAAATAGAGCAGTACCACACAGGAAGATTTTCTTCAGCTTTGGAGTCTTTTCAAGAGGTGATGAACTAAAGAAAATGTTAACCTACACTGCCCTTCATTTAAGTGCTACTTTATCCATATGCAGTTCTGGTGAAGTAGCTTGCTTCAATGAGACTGTGAAGTAAGCTGGAAGGGGTGAATGAATATTATTTTGCAACACAAAGAACTGTGTTTGAATGGTAATTTGAACTGCTCTTGAGTGAGTGATTAATCGCTATTGTTACCTGCTGAGAATGATGCTCATTTTTAGAGATGGAAGTAAATGTTCCCCATGTAGACTTCTGTTCATGGATAACAAAAATAGAAGCAGTTTTTGTGTTCCTTTTGTCTTTAAATATATATATTTTTTTCTCTCCAGTGACGCATTTGGGAACAAGGGAAACACTCTCTCTACCTTTACTCAAGTAAAATACTCTTGAAATGTGAAGCTACAATGGATTTTTGATGAGGGAACCAGCCTAACTTCTGTGTAACTCAGTGTAAACTCAGAGTTACTCTGTGTAACTCTGTGTAAACTCAGAAATGAAATAATGACATTAGGAATGCAAGCTAAATGAAGCTGTGTGTTTTTTTTTTTTTTTTTTTTTTTTATGATCTTGTCCAATGTCATTCATCATTTTTATTTAAAATAAAAAACACTTATAAAAAGTAGTTCTGATTTCCTAATCCTAGCACTCGAAACTACCCTTACAGAGTGGATGCTAGAGACAGTTGGAATGCAGCAGCCAAGCTGAGGCCTCCTGCAAGGCTGTATACATCATTATCAACACATGTTTTTCTTGAATGATATACTCCAGATGTTTCCAACAGTGCTTAAGATGCAAAGCTCACAAGAGGACAGAGTTGTAGCCTGCAGTTTTATGTTCTTAACTTTCTGGATCATGGACCATTAGCAACTTCATGGACAACTATATGCATTTAACATCAACTGTTTAATATCAAACACTAGAAGGAGGATATAGACGGAATGCCTTAAGTAGAATTACTTCTATACCAGTAGAAAAAAAAGAGTTTTTTTAGTTGATAGGATGCCACTGAACATTTCTGGACCAAGTGTTCTTTGTTGAATTTATTTTGGGAATTTTTGGTCAGGAGGAGCAAGCAGGATGCTGGAATTATGAAAAGTGGTTTATCTACCGAACACATTCTAAGAATTGGTAAATTTTTCTATTATTTGCTTTTCTATTTTTATTATTTGCTTTTCTATTATTTGCTTCCAAGACTTAAGAAAGGAAATAAAATGCTGTCATATTTTTGCAACCAAACTGACCAAATGGAAGCTCATAGATACATAAGAACTGATATTAGGGAGCTCAGCTATGGGCAGAAGAAAAAAGTTGGCTATAAATCAACTATTTGCCAGGTGCCACCCAGACCTCTCAGAAGACTGCCAAGATGGCACTAGCTGCACTTGCCTGTCTACAAACCACTTCAAAAGCTCAGCTGGCAGAATAATGGGGCACTTCAGTCATATCCCCTGCACAGAAGAGGGGAAGGAGGTGCTGATAAACTGCTCTGCTTGTGTTGGTGCTCATTACTCAGACTTTCTCTGAGGCAGGGTAGCACTGGAGGAGCGCTGGAGGATGGAGGAGGAAGAGGGTTTGAAAACGTGGTTTTGCTAGTTATCTCTGATCTGATTTAGAAGCCCAAAGCAGCCACATTTCAGGAAGTATATTCCACTAATTACACAGGTATTTGCACCCTTGGCTAAACCTACATCTTAAAGAGTTCTTAGAAATCCTTCAGTTAATTGAATACATTGCCAAGTGGGGTTGGCCAGAAAGAGTGTTCCAGGCTGGAATACAGACATTAGATCTGATTTAAATCCTTCAGTGTCATGTGAAGTGACACATTACAATTCAGATTTCAATTTTTTTTTACAATTTTTTTTCCAAATGAAAGCCTGAATTTTCAGGCTTTCCAAATGACTAACTGAAAGAGACCTGGCCACTAAAAGAGATCTCTGTTCCTTGGCCCTTTTATATACTTAGAACACTTTAGTAAGAGTTTGATATCTGAATAAATTTAGAATTACAGTTGGAGTGTTTTGTGTCATCCATAATCTGCCATTTAACTTGGCTAAAGAATGAATTTTTCTAGTCTGCTGTAGACTACAGAGAAACATGGGATCCTTCAGACAGTAATGTACAGATTCTAATTTAACAGCCGCTTCTGAACTTTTTCCCATTTGCTCTCCATCAGTGCAGGAATTCTCCAAGGATTAACCTATATTAAGTGTTTGCAAGGTGTAAAACTGAGTCTACTTTTCACTTGAGTCACATGAGGCCTGGTACATACTTATGATTTTGGTCACTTTTTATGGCCTGTTTGACTGGTTTTTATTTGTGATAGAGCCTCTGACCATCCAAGAAGGAAAGGAACAGTTCCCAAGTGTTCATAACCAGCTGGTCACAATGGAGAGATGTAATGCAGGTGCCATTTTTATCCACATTTACAACAAAATGTCTTGTATGGACAGCTGCTTGAAAAGATAAGCTCAGATACTGCAAACAATTATGTTTTGTTTTGTTTTATATCATTTACAATACATTTGGAACTGCAGCATTTGGGATGAATCAGAAGGAGAAAGAGAAAAAAATCCTCAACAAGAAGTCACAGGAAGAAACATGACCCTAATACTGCCTACATCCAGTAACAGCATTAACAAGGAGATTGGGACAGAAAGGCCTTTTCATATTTATTTAGCACACATAGACCTGCTGGGGCTTCTCAGGTCTCTGAGTCTATAATTCAGATGCTGTTTTGCACAGCAGTTCCACAAGAGCTCAGTCTGTTTATTCTCTGTCTGCTGCCTGATGGGATAACCCTGAAAGTAAACAAATAGTAAATATTGGACTAGTCCTCAGCCACAATGAGTCACTTTCTCATGGCAAGGGATGGACCCACTGCCACTGACTTCTAACCAGCAGAAATCTCTATGTTGGTATGTGCTCTGAAAAGTAAAATATGCATCTGAGAAGCAGGGAGGGAATCAAATTCAGGCATTCAAACTCCTGGGCTGCTCTGCTGCTGACACAGGTCTGCCAGAGGGAATCAATGGTTAGAAAATGGACTGAGAAAATAGGATATAGTAAAGCTGTCTGCAGGGCAAGGCAGCATTCTGCAGGCTGCCATGAGAGTCCATGCTGATTGCTGGAAAGTCACTAGACCACTAGGTTAGAAAGAGTCATTTAATGGAAAAAAAATACATTGGTTCCTATGATTTCTCTTAAATAAATGCATGTTTTGAATTTTGTCATGCATTTCAAGGTCACTGCATTTCTTTCTCTTTTTTGTGTTCTTTCCTTTGTTATTTTTGTTATTGTCTCCTTTGACTACCAATGAATTTGGGGTTTGTAATAGCATGTTACTGTTAACAAATAATTTATATTAGCTTCTTTTTCCTTTCAAAATTATTCAGAGCTTAAGAAGAAACCTTCAAGGGATGTAAGAAGTGGCATGATTCAACTTTCTCCCTTACCTGTCTATTTGAGATAACTAAGGTTAGACAGTTAAAGCAATAAGTGACTAGATGTTAATCCAGTCAGAACTTTGTAGATCCATGTAAAGAAAATAATCCAGCCTTGCTGCACCCTTTTAAACAACAAGCATACTTAAACCAAAACAAGAGTCAATCATCTCAGCTGCAGCCACACAGTTCTTCTGTGATTTCTATTATCAAAGGTGTTTCACGTTTAGATTATCCTTCTCTGCATAACCCTGAGATCCAAGGGACACATTACATCTTCAGAAGTGCTACAAATATCCAAAGATTTGTCAAACTTTGCCTCTGCTCCTGCTTCTGATTTGATCCCTAAAAGATTACAATTTTTTTTCTGCTTATATCATGTGAATTCTTTTTGCTAAATATTTTCCTCCAGCAATTATATGAGCAGTTTGTTATCAATGTTTTGTATTAAATATTCTGAGCTGGAGCACTTGCAGTTGGGCTAAGACACTGGGTTTTTTTTTTCCCAGCAAATGCTCAGACCAGGATTCCGGTGACTCACTTATAGCAGCTCTAATTCTGCAGGCCAAGGGATGCTCGAGTTCAGTTAGTGTGTAAAATAGCATGTTTTGCATGGGCACATCAGTTTGCAAGTCATGAGTATTTGGTAGAATTACTGCCCAGCTCTGGAAACCTCGGTCATACTCGTCTTTGCTCTTGCGAGTCTCATATTGATAAATATAAAGCTGCTTATATGAAAAATTAACCTACACATTTCTGAAGGTGGGAAGAGAGTTATGAAGAATAAGATTGATGAGGAAAGGAGATGTCTATAAGTACGAAGGGCTGCTGGGACTAAAGAAACCATTTACCTGACAATTCTTAGATGTGCAGGAATTTGAAAGAGTAACATAAAGCTCAGCTGCTTGATACACTCAACTGTTCTCTAGTGACTCGGGACCAAAGGATTTGTCTCAAGGACCTCTTCACGTAGCATACCTTGCTGGTCAGTAGCACCAGTTCACAGCAGAACCAAACTAGAGGTTCCTAAGGGAAAAGTATTTTCCAGGTATGTTTTCTGGAAGAATCTGTATATATGTTTAAAATTTAAACTTCTGCTTCTTTTGTTACTCAGGGCCACAATAAGAAAGTATAGAAAATTTGTCAGGTGTGTTCCTTCCCAGAGACTGATCCTGTATCTCTGGCTATCAGTAGTAATTAACATACAGGTCTTTATATCTGCAAAGACCTTCTTCGACCACTTGGGACTCCTTATGATACAGGGATGTGGGAAATTCAACAAAACATGGGTGAATCCATATGGCTACTGGAGCAACTGTGCATGTAAAGGACTGTGAAGTTAACATGAGATTCATCAGGACAGGTTTATCCTATTTCAAGCAGCATGAGCTAAGGTAGTGCTGGTGACCTAGAAGTTCACATCTACTTGAATTTGAAAGGCAGTGCCTTTCATCTGCGTCTGGAATTGCACAAAAGTAGGATCTTCTGCCAATCCTATCTCTTCAGCTGGTGGAAGGAATATGACTGAGGCTTTCTCTGAGCCATTACTGCTATTACATCTCTAAATTGGCAAGTCCAAATTAGTAAGAATTGCTAAGTGGAGTGAACAGTAAGGTTCCTTCTATCCTCCTCCTCATGGTATTTTTGGCACTGGCCACTGTGGACTTCCTCTTTGGATGATCTTTAGCTAAGTTTCTTACCTGTTATAATGGGTGGGATGTGTATTGCAGGTGTATCTTTTCTCCTGGGCTTCTTCTGTTCCAGTTCAGTGATCTGAGAGCCTGGACTCACTCTCTCCCTCTGTGGTTTCTCTGTGATACCATACCTTTTCAGCAGGTTATCAGAGAAGTCTGAAAGTATGCCTGCAGGGAAGAAAGGAAGAAAATACTTCTTCAGCCTTGTTTTACACTGCATGAGTGTAAAACAAAGCAGCATGAGCACTTTGTGCAGTGTGCCTGCTCTCTATGATTTGAAAAAAATGTGGCTTTGCTCTGTATAAGCTATATTCTGTAGGCTAGACGGAATGACGCTGTTAAGCCAGCTGTTTTTTGCTGGTACCTAGGGCACTAAACTACAACCCATCAGAAATGATGGTCTGAAGAGGAATGCAATCTTGAAATCCAATGAATAAATATCTCCTCAAAGTTGTTTAATCATATGAATGCTCAAGCCTGTACTCAGGAGCAATATGACCACACAGAAATGAGATGGATACTTCAGGCAAATAACGCAGCTCTTGAGCTTCTAGGCCGTTCTTCCCTAAGAGAGAAATACATGCAGATGGATACATGTGAAAGTTGAATGCAGACAAATGTGCAGAGTTTTGAGTTCAACACCTGGATTACACATACTGGAAAAGACCAGCTGCTTGTTTTTCATTTGCTAAGTGTACACCATTGCACATAGGCAACTGGTGACTGGGGAAGTGGTTACCAGCTAACTCCTCTGTGTATGCCCAGCATGGGAAAATGCAATGTGCTCCACACAGGAACACTGCTCCCTCCCTAGAGAGCACTGCAAGGACTGCTTGTTAGCAGAGAGAAGTGATAAACATTTATTCCCCAGCACCAACAAGGGACACTTGGAAGATCATCATGTTTCATTGGCAGTCCCCTGCTCCTCCTCCTTCCTTTCCCCAGGTTGGTGGCATTTGGCTCTCAAATGTCAGAGGTCTGTAGATGCACAGCAGCAGAGAGCATCCTACAAAGAGTCTCTCTGTTGCTTCAGTGGTTTCAGGCTTACTGAAACGTCCATGCTTTACCAGAGTGCACAAGAGCCCAGAGGAACAACCAGCAGACAGCTTGTGTGCCTCTGTACTCACGTGCCATCCAGGTCTTCCATTGAGCACAAGCTGCACCAGGATTTAGAAGAGCTGGATCCTTTTGGATTTTGGATTGAATGTGATTGCCTGATGTGGCTCACTTGGTAGAAATAAGCACACATCATTTGTCACATAAAGACAATGAGAATGTGAGCTATAAGGGAGGATTTTTTTTTCAGAAGCATATATACACACACATTTACCTTAATATTTACAGATTGTGTGAGAACTCAGTCTAAAGTATGAAGGCTTTTGAAAAATCCAGCCTTTTAGCCTGCCCTTCCAGATGTATTTAGAATAGATATACTTTCTTGTTCACTTCTACATGGATTTAATTTATAAAAGATCTTTGGATCTTTGTCCATATTCAATCCACTGAACTGAATTTGAATTTTGAAGTCAAAAGTTGGATTACTCACCTGATAGGGGTGGTGGAGTGTGTATTGCTGGTGTATCTTTTCTCCTTGGCTTTTTTTGGTCCTGATCAGTGTTCTGAGAGGCCTGGATAATTTTACCTTTTCTTGGTTTCTTTTTGAGGTCACAGCTCTTTATCAGCTGTTCTGAAAGATCTTCTGCATAGAGGAAAAGAGGAATGGAAATTGAAAATGGAAGGGAAAATGATAAAACAGATGGTGAAATGAAAAGTTTTGATAATATTGCTTTCATCCAAGTAGATTAAAATGCCCAGGGAGACACAAATCCTATATAGAAAGTCTGTAAAAGAGGTCTCTGTGTCATAACAAACGGCATCCTAGTGACTTAGGTGGTCTTTCTGCTTTGTAGGTGGTAGACATAAAAAAAAAAAAGAGGGAGAAAATTGTGTGTGGCTATTGGTTACATGACAGAGGGAAGGTACCACCGTGCAGAAATCCCAAGGCCATGACTCGTTCATCTCCAACTGTGTGGGTCTGTGTCTCGAGTTACAAGGGCACTTTTATGAAGGGAAGATTTATACAGATGGGGCCAGCCTGAGGCACTGGTAAGCTAAACCAGCATATTGTTCACTTCAAGAGTTGGCCTTACTTCCAGAGCTGCTGAGCAGTCAGTATTCACTTTTGATTTACATAATGTTACACTGGATTATTGTTTTTCCTTTAAAACAAGACTCAGACTGCTTAGAGGGCCGACAGATTTTCTGCAGTGGTCTGCGTTTCTCGGTACATACACAAGCTGAAAATGTTAAAGTCTAGCCTATCAAGTATCATCATACAGACCAAAAACTTTCTTAAATGTCACTTGGTTGTTTTCATCATTCTCTCTCCTCCCCTCTAACTCCAGACTTTTTGCCCAAAGGGACCTGGTCCCAGGCTCACTGCTGCTATGTGACACAGCTCTAAGTCCATGGATGAGAGGGAGGAAGGATGACCTCTAGGTTAAGTCCCTGAAAGATGGATGTTCTTTTTTAGGCTTTACAGACTTCCTGTGTGAACTCCATGAAGGCATTTAATCTCTAAGTGCGCCTGGTTTTTTTTTTTTTTTTTTTTTTTCCTGTATGATGGAGCTAATTCTTCCCAAAATTCTGTTTACTTTAAATAAGCAGTTTTATGGAAAAATTACTTTTATTTGGTGAACTGAGAGCACTTACAAAAGTGGTGCCTCTGGCTAGCAATGTTGTGGGCCTGAAGAAATACTAAGATGCTTTCCTTTTAAGCTGGATAAATGAAGTTGATAAAGTTCTGCTTGCCTGAGGAGAGATACTTCTTTTGAAATTGCATTTGTGTTTCATTATTGACCTGACAAAGATAACAACAAGCAAGTAGATTTTTGTTTCTGGGCTGGTAAATCTTTATGACAATTTTGCAAGGCTAGAATGAAACAATATCATTTGAAACAGAGGCAAGGACCATGGATATGCACATGAATATGCACAGAGGCACATCTATCAAGTCATGAAATCTGGTGTTTGGGACAGTGGCAGAGCAAAGATACCCCCCGGTACTCTAAGTGTAAAAGTTATGTACAAATTAGTTACAAGGAAGGAAACAGATTGACAGTAAAAGAGGAAAGGTGTTCAGAACGTCATCCCAATGTAGTCAAAGCAGGCATTTGAAATCTTTTATCAAAATTGCATGTGCAATATCTGTTCAGGGAAGGCTCAGCTATACCCTATCCTTCAGTTTATTTTGGCATAAATGATGAAAAAACTCTACTTTTTTTACCAAGGAAAATAACAATGACTCTTATTTTTTCCTTTTCTCCTCTTTAATTAACTTTCTTCTCAAGCTTCAGCTAATATGTACATGCAGAGGAAAAAAATAAAATTAAAAAAACACTCTTTCCCTTTCCATCTGGCATCAGAAGTGTCACCAGAAGGTGTAATCTATCGGGTTTCATGAGGCTGCCGTTGTACTGCTGGAGGGGAAAAACAGCCACTGGATGGGACCTAAGGATGTAAAGATAACACTTCTCTAATTACAGCAATGACATCATCTAATAACACTTACCTAAATGGTTACAGTGTGAATCTCGCTTGTCCAGTCTGTCTTCTGGGATATCAAGTGGCTGAACATATTCTGTTGACATCATTGAAATACAGGGTTTTGGGTTTTTTTTTTTTCTTGGAAGTTGCAGCAACCATTAGAAAAAAAAAAAAAGAAAGAAAGAAAAACACATTGTGACATAAAACTGACAGGTTGGTATTACATATCCACTTGCTAGCCAGATCATTAGAAGTTCCTGTCTTCCAGTTGCTCTTTGCCATGCAGTCTGTTGGTCTGATATTTTCAAGCATTTTGAGATGCATCTGTTCACTGTCTTGGCTACCAACATTAAATATCCCATTTTTCCAACTCCATTGCTGCAAGTGACCCACATAAGCACAGGAAATACAGTAGCTCAACAGAAGACTTTGACCATACAGACAGGCACAAAATAAGTGCTAGAAAGCAGGATATTTTGTTCTGATTTTCTTCTCCGTTTGTTTCTCAGCTTTAAGCTAACAGGGTTTTTGGCATCTATCACACAATCTGACTTTTATGACCAGTGCTGCTTACATATTCTTATAACTGCAGCCACTCCAAAATAGCCGGGGTGCCTTTGATGACCCAGGTGTGAGTGCTGAGCCTGAAATGTGGCAGGGGACCTCAGGCCCCAGAGCCAGGGTGATGCACACATCTCCTTGGTAGAAACACGTGGGACCAGTTTCTCAAAGCTCTTTATTTATCTATGTTCTGTAGGTCTCAATGGATTGCATACGGGACTTCAGGGTTATTTTATCCTTGGTTATGTATAAACGGAGAGGGGCCTCTGTCCCCACCTCTTGCCTGAGCTCTCCTAGCACCAGGTAGGCTGAGATTTGATACTAACTTTGTGCCCTTCAGACTGTTATCACGGGGAGAAGGAGATCAGATTATTTTTTGCTGTAGATAATTTCTGCAGTCACTTAGCAGAAACCCATCAGAGTAATAGTGCAATGTTATAGAAAAAAAAAAAAAAAGAAAAACAAGAAAACTTTGATCTTAAATTTGTGTCCCTGTTGATGATGAAAGTTTCTCCCTTTGGGCAGGAAGATGTGTGATTCCATTTCTTAGGAGTTAACACTATTCTCCATTTTGGGGGTATTAAAAAAGTGGAGATTTTCTTGTAGAAGAAAATTATATGAAGAAAGGGAATTATGCAGAACAAAAAACAGGAGACAGTTAACAGGAGAAGAAGGACAGCAATGGGAGAAGAAGGGAGAGGGGAAGTAGAGGGATGGCAAGAGGAGAAGAAGGGAAAGGCGATGTAGAGAAGGATAAAAGTTGGGAGTAAATGTGTCAGATAAAAATGGGGAAAAGGAAAAGGGGAAATCAAATAAGAAGAAAAAATAGGAGAATGACTATACTGTGAGATTTCATCTGATCTTTCTGGAGGTAAAGAAATTACCTAAATTATTTCTCCCTAAATCATAGTGAGTGTTTGTCGACAAAAACAACTGTAGGGTGCAGAACTTCATTTTTAGTGACTAAACTTGAATCTATACAAAGATCCGTTAACCCAGAGGCAAAATCCAACCACACATATATTTGGGAAAAAAAAAAAAAAAAAAAAAAAAAAAAAAAAAAAAAGGTCAAAGTCGTGCTCATGCTTTCAGCTAATTCTTTAGGAGATGGAAAAAATGTCCTAAACCCTAGTGACTTCAAAGTAAACGGAGCAGTACTGGTTCTAAGCAAGCAAAGGTCAGGAACATTGAATCATAATATACTTATGGGATTAACTCCCATGTCCTTTGGTACTCAAAAATTCCTGCAAATTCTTAAAATCCTATAAATGGTGAATCAGGCCTGGATCAGAGGTGCAACCTCATGCTGGTCACTGCAGAACTCACCTAGTTCAGCTTCACATATGTGTTGAATGGTCATGCTGCCTGGATAAGCAGCCTTTACAGGATAAAAATTAAAAGGTATCTGCCACTTATGAAGATCTCTTGCATAAAAAAATCTTTGAATTTAGCTAAATGTGATATGACTACTCTTTTTTATCAACTGCATAAAGCAGCTAGAGCTATGTTTTCAACTAAAACATAATTTTATTGAAAAGATAAACTTGCCACATGAAGGCCCACTACATTTTATGTTTTCAGGAGAAACTGTTATATTTTCAATGCTATTTGATTTAAGGGGATCTGATGAATGCACTCCAGCTGTTAGCTAAATACCATGGTTGCAGGAAGAATGTTCTTTTCTAAACACTATCTTGTTTAGAATGTTTTCAGTAAAACCAGTAACACCATTTCAGACAATGGACTCTTCTGAAGATCTCTTGAGCCAAAAATGCCGGGGAGAGTAAAATTTAATTGTAACATTGGCAGTAACCTGTACTGATTGGAAATGCATTTAGAATTTGATTCAGTTTGGCTTGATTTCACTAGGGTGTTTCATTTGAGTTATCCCACCTAATAAAAATAAACCTTCATAAAGAGAGGTTGTCTAGGATTGAAGTATGTAGAGTATGAGGAAGGCTTAATTACTTTTTCTTAACACAGTTGCTTGAAAAATAGCAAATAAATCCCTAGATTTGTTGGGATAGCAAATAAATCCCTTGTATTTTTATTTTATTGCAGGTCCCTAGTCCTTAACACCTTCCACACTTTAAAACAGAAATTTATAGCATAACATCGGATGTATTTGAAAACTTTGCCCTGCTTTGTATTGCCTTGATTAAAAACGTAATTCCACTTGCAAATTTCAACTATCTATGTGACAAAAGAATAATAAAAACAGAAAGACTGCCAGAATATATCTTAAAACTTGATATAGCAGTAACTTGATACTGTATACAGTGCATGTGATATAAGAAAGTATTAGTGATACACTATATCCCATCATTGGACAGTATGCACAGGTCTCATTCGTGATGTATGTGAGCACTGTAATGGTGCTTTCCCAAACCACTAAAATCAATTCCCGACAGCGAAGAAACAGATTCCCCAATCATGTTACACGTGGAATGGGGGAGCGTTGCAGTAACAGTAGGAAGGCATTAACATGCCTTTACAATCGGAAGCATATTCTTGGATTTTAGTGTTAAATGCAACTCCTTTCCTGCTAGTCTTTGTGGTAACCTCATATGCCCTGTCTGCAGCGGTCAGTCACTCTTGGTAGGTGACCTGTAATTTAAGTGATGGATCTTTTTATTTATTTATTTATTTTGCACCCAGTTCACCTCTGGACATAATGAGCCACATTCATCCTTCAGGCAACTTTAATGCTTACAGTAGAGCATTAAATCACACTCAGCAGGAGACACTTTCTGGAATGGATATAGATTTTTCCATATGAATTAGGATTCAATAGTCATTTAGCCTGAGACTTTTGTACAGTATAGCTTGGCTGTGGCTCTCCCACAGATATGTGCTCAGCTAAGCCTGGAGTCTCTAACTTCTGGGAAAAGACAGAGCTGATGGAGATGCCCTACATGTTTCCCTAAAGCTGCAAGGACTCATTCAGATGTAGAGTCACTGTTGTGTTACAGCAGGACTCCCCTGGGCACACACACTTGTAAGACACTTTTAAGACGGAAAATAGCTGAACTTTTTAGTTTCAAACTATCACCTAATCACTTTCAAACTATTCATGGCTTTCTGGGTAGCTTAAAGACAGTGCTTCAAAATTCTGCCAGTCATTTTTGCCCTGGAATTTTATTTTCTATGTGTGCAAGATTAAAATGGTCTTGTAAATACCCAGGCCCAAGAGATGCAGAGTTCACACCACATACATAGTCTTAAAACAAACTCACGGACACAAAAAATAGGTTTTTTTTCTTTGCTTAAAAAGTGGTCCAGTGTGACCGGTTTCTGGGTTGCATTAGGTAAAACTATTCTGCCTAGACATGGGCAGATAAACTAGTTTTGTTTTGCTGTTTCTATGTGCAATTATGTAGGTATTTGCCTTAAGTAATTAAGCTAGGATTTAGGGTGATGCTCAGCAAAGCTCTTTTCACAAATTTTTACCCAATATTATGCAATTCGGTTGAGAACAAGTGATCAAAGACTGCATAAATTGTGCCTTTTGGGTTTACATCAGACTACCTAGTGCTGTACAGGGAAATTTAATTCGTCCACGGGACTGCTAAAAGCACCAAAATCCCCAGACATGCATTAGTTTTCAGCACACAAAAAGTCATAGAAGAAATCCTGAAATTTCATAGGCACTACCTAAGTAAAACTGTTCTAAAAGATCATCATTTTTTTGTTGGGTGGCAGTATGCAACCTAAATCTGGATTTTATATGAAGATTTTGGGAAGCTTATAATCATGCTACCACCGAAACCAGTATGATCCCAGTACTTCTCTTCTGCTGGACCCAGAGCACTTAATAAGAACTCATCTTTGCTGTCAATGTCAGGACTTGCTCTTATTGTTCTACGCAGAGTGCCATTATGAGGTGACCTATATCTTTTAAAAGAGTGTGGGCAACTGTGTCTCACTTCTTTTTTCCCCAAATGTGTTTTTTTTTGTTTCAAAATAGGAGTGAAAAGGCATAGCAGAGGTCATGGGCAGCCTGGAGTGAACTCTCCCTTCAGTTGACTCTTACTTGGGAATGCTAAACCTGCGCTGTCCCAGTCGCATGTCCTCTGTAGGCTCCTGAGTTGGCAGTTTTGTTGCCTTAAGTGACTTACGTATGTGTAAGTAGGGTGTAAGATATTGCCATGCAGGTGTAGTAGCCTTGCACCCACCTTGCCGTCCCAGAGCGCATGTGAGGCAGCTCTGCTGGGGACATTGCAGTTCCCAGGCACATTTGTCTCCTCCACTTGGGCTAAGAAGCTAGGCTTGAGTCTCTCATTTACAAGCAGGTTCACCACCATCCCCTATCCTAAAGGTGCTACAGCTGTTTGCCATGCAAAATTTGGGGGGAAAAGAGCAAGGGGTAGAAAACAGATGCCACCCAAAAGGAAGGTCTGGGTGTTGCATTGCATTGAAAACTTCTCAGTAAGTTTCACCATGTGTTTAATGCTCTTCTACCAGACCAGCTTTTTTTTCTATTACAGCCTCATTATACTGCCTGGGCTGAACTTCTGCAAAGTTTTAGCTGGGCACAAGGTTGCTCTCTTCAAGAATTCCTCTCA